AACATTGGCTTTGTGTGCAAGAGTAGACAAAGGGTGTGGGCCAGAGCATGAACACAGATCACAGGGAAGATAAGACCTTTAGTTTGGTCCTACAATGGATGCTAAATTAAATAGATAAATACAGACTCTAAGAAAACACAGAATATTATTCCAGATGGAAGGGCACAAAGGAGTCACATTGATCAAATTGTAATGTGGGATTCAGGATTGGATCCTGAGCAGGTAGTGGACATCAGGGAAAATTAAAATAAGGTCTGTAGAGTAGTTAATAGTATCATGTCAGTGTTAGTTTCCTGATTTCAATAATTGTATTAGAATCATGTAAAATGTCAATGTTATGAGAGATAACTATTGTCTTTGCAACTTTTTTGTAAGTCTAAAATTTTCAATATAGTAAGTTAGAAAATATTTTACATATTTACATAATTACATAATTATTTTATGCAATATTTTACATAATTACATGATTACATAATTATATTTTGCATATTTGCATAATTACAAGTTACATAATTTATATATCATTTTACATAATGATACATACAAAAATATTATTATCATTGTGAAATCCATCTCTGCTAAACCAGGAAGATAACCCATCATTGGGAGAACTAAAGGAATGAGATGTTGCCTTAATTCTGGTGGACATGTCTGCTAAAACTTTGGATACATTGGTAGAGTCTTTTGGGATACATACACAACATTTAGTTTCAGTATTAGCATAATAAGTCCCCCCTTTGACTTGCAGTCAGGATTAGGTTTTGGAGGATCACTTTTTGAATTTGTGGGTGACTCCGTGTTGGGTTGGGTTAAAAGGTGGCTGCTGTATGCTTGGCTAAAGCCTCTATTTGTAATCTTACAACTATAGAGGTGGGTCTCGGGACAAATAAGGCTAAGGGGTAAAACCATAAAGAAGCCCTCTCTGCAGACTGCCTGGGTGGCATAGTGAGTTAAGTGTCCCAACTCTTGGTTTCAGCTCAGGTCATGATCTCAGGGTCTTGAGATGGAGCCCCATGCCAGGCTCTGTGCTCAGCTCAGAGTCTGCTTGAGACCCTCTTTTTCTCTAACATAAACAAATATATATCTTTTTTTAAAAAAAAGCCCTCTTTGCCTGTTGTCTAGCCATAACAATATCCTAATTATGAGGAATCACTGTCAAGTGGGAGATGACTTGTCCTGGGAGCTAAGGGCATCCCCAAGTGCATTCTCCAATCCAATTATAAAGATGGTGGGGCCAATTCTTTAGCTCCGCAAATTCAGTTAGTCTCAAGGAGTGAGGGGTACGCTCTGACTTTCGAGGAGCGATTTTGTTATCCCAACCACATTGAATTGATCAAGGTGACAATTCCAAACCCAGGGCTTACCCCCTTTCAGCTGAGCTGCCTATTTTGGGCGCTGGAAAGCACCACATAAATGGTTCCAAGCCATCCCAATAAAGATATGTGTGATGCTGTCATGGTGCATGTTGGGTTTCCCTCCCATGTCTTTTTAACTCTGCTACCCCGAGTTACAGCCCTATTGTGGCTTGCATATGTGAATGTCAACCTGAACTGAAGAAATCTGCTACTCATCATACATGGTGGTTATAAACAGAAAACAGACATAGAATAGGGAAACTCACAAGTGTTATGCTCAGAAACAAGAAACTTAACTCAGGAAAACCAAGGCTTAGCTCTTAAACTGTACTTTGTAGCCCAGATGATGAAATCCTCTTTCTGGCTCTGTGCCATTTGTTACCCCGAAACTGGGTTCACCTCTTGGCCTCTTGGTGTGTGTTGAACCAAAAGACACAACGAAGTGAAAGATTAGGAAAAGAAAGGGTTTTATTTGGAATAAATAAAGGAGAACACAATTGAACAAAATTGGAGAAATTTTAAGCCAAGGGTACATCCATAGTCATGAAGGGGCTTGCTCAATGAGCACTGGAGTTTTAATACTGATTCATCATTCTGATATGATTAGTCAACCTCCTGGCCGTTTGTTCTTATGTTCTTTCATGAGATGGGGGGCAGGGGCAGCTAAAGTAACTTTCTTATATCAAGAAAGCTTTGTCTGTCTTTCTTTTTCCAAGGATCTCTAACTCTTTCTGGTCACACATTCACAGTTTTTTTGAGTCCAGATCAGTCATCCTCTTAATGATAAACAATATTGCCTGATAACACAGTTGACACTCTACATTTATCTTAACCCAGGATGGTTCCAAAGAAACTGTATGGAGAGAAGATCGCCTGAGGTCAGCTTCCCAGAAAGAAGGGGCTAAAACTTATCCTGAACCTTTTTTCACTCACCGCCCTCCCCCTCCAACCATGAGCCTGCAAGAACAAGTTTAACATAGACCACCAGGACCTCGCAATCCAAAAGAGGCATTAATGGACTCTTCACCCCCTAAAGGATTGGTCCTGTTTTTGATCATTTTTTATAGAGGTTATAACATCATCTAATGTGGGATCAAAGACGGGTGTAAAATGTACCAAACATAGCAGCATATGGCATCTACACTGTCGCTTAAAAGGCGTGCAGCGCACTCTCTCCTGGATCTCCCCGCCAGCAACCCCAACCTTCCTCCCACGTGGTAGGAGACAGAGGTAGTGTTGTGGAACAGCCGTGCAGTGCGCAGGCGCCTCTAGCATAGCTCGCGCATGCGCACTGCTGCGACGGTGGAGCCGCCATGTTTCCAGCGGCGTAGGTGTGTTGTGGTCGCTCTGTCGTGGTTTTAGCGGTGCCTGGAGCGTCCCGGAATCCGGGACGTCGCTGAGTTCATTGCTAGAACCACCCCTGCATGGGACTGCGATCCTCCTTAATGGTTTCTTTTGGCAGCCCCAGGACTCTGTCAGGTCTCCGCCGCCTTTGGGGCGTCAAGGCCTCCAAGTTCCGCGTCTGTGGAATGGAGTCCGAGAGTTGTGCCTCGCGCAGCGCACCTGGGCAGGTTACACAGGTGCATCTTCCACGGCGCGGGAGCCAGCGTGCACCCCTTTATCTAGACCGAGATCCTAAGTCACACTTGGGGCCCGGACCCCCATAACCCGCGTCTGCCCCGTCGAGGCCCCAGTGTCCTCAGGCAGTAGCCCGCGCCCCGGAAAAGCCGTGGCCCCTCCGTGGCTGGCAGGGGGCCCACCTGCTGCAGCTGCATGGACATGTGCGTGACGCCCGCCAGCCTGGCTGCCGCCGGGTTAGGGTTGCTGACTTCTCGAGGTTGATAAGGAACCTAGATACTCCAACGGAACTGAGACGCTTGCCCTCCGCAAAGGAAGGTCAGGTGAGAGAGATGTGTCTGTGCGGAAGCCAAAATGCACCCCCAGGGGAAAGAAGCAGCTTTAAATATTTGCAGAGCCCAGGGGGTGTCAGTGCTGGGTCACCCTGATGGTCGGGGTCGAGGAGGAACTTCAGCGACCCCGTGTCGGAACTCCCTGAGCCGTACTGTCATCCTTCCCAAAGCTCCTTCAGCGTTGGGTTCAGAAACTAAGTCAGCAGACGGGGAGAAGATTCATAAAAGTGTGCAGTTAGCCCCCTCAGGGTCCTGGAAACTTTGTTTACAAAATACCTTGGAAGTTTGTGCTGTGGGTAACCCCCTTCCAACTGCATACAATCAGTTTCCGGTCACAACCCCAGTGAAGCTCTTTCTGCCCACGGGTTCTGTCCTTGTGTTTTAGAATTCTCTCTGCCTGCCTCTCTGCCTACTTGTGATCTCTTTCTCTGTGTGTCAAATAAATAAATAAAATCTTTAAAAAAAAAAGATTTTATTTATTCAAGAGAAAAAGCAAAAGGAAAAGACCATTGGCGTACACTGGGAGTTCTGCGTGTAATGGCTTCTCGTTGTAATTGCTTCTTCTTGCCAAGGACAGAATCTTCCTCTTGCTGAGGTAGTCATGTAGGCTTCTGGTTGGTTCTGCAAAGGGTTGTATGTGTTATACCGTGAAAGCTTCCCCTTCTGGGCTTCTGACTCCATTTTTTTTTTTTTTTAAAGATTTTATTTATTTATTTGACAGAGAGATCACAAGTAGGCAGAGAGGCAGGCAGAGAGAGAGAGGAGGAAGCAGGCTTCCTGCTGAGCAGAGAGCCCGATGCGGGGCTCGATCCCAGGACTCTGAGATCATGACCTGAGCCGAAGGCAGCGGCTTAACCCACTGAGCCACCCAGGCGCCCCTTCTGACTCCATTTTAAGTGAGGTTTGCTTTATGCAGTTTCAGAGGAGATTAAGACAATAAGAAAATAAAAAGAAAAGTTTCGATTTTATAAATTCATTTAACATGAAGCCATCAGGTAGATATTCTAGAAGCTGCTTTCTCAATTTCACATGTCTTTGGTTGATGTACATTATTTATTTACTTGTTTGTTTACATTTTAAAAGACCCATGCACAGTTTTCAAGAAAAGGGTTTTCATCTCATTCTGCTCCCCCCTAATACTCAAATCCTGAGAATCTTCCTTACAATGCCTCAGTGGCTCAGGGAAATGGGTATTACCCCTATTTTACAGATGAGGGACTGAGGCACAAGGAGATGAAGGTCATGGGAGAGTCTCTTGAATGTCCTAAGATGGGCAACACAGGGCCCAGCACAGGGTCAACTTCTCTGTTTTCCTGCCTGCCCCACAGAAACTGGGTGGGGTTGGGGGGAAGCTAGTGATGTAGGTTGGGGTCTTTCCTGGCATGTGGAAAATATCACATTTTCATAAGGAGCTTGTCTAGAAAGGTTTCCTTCGGCCACAGAGAAAGAAAAATTAGGAAATTATGAGACACAGGTGAGGAGGAGTGGGAAGTTTCCAGAAATGGCCAGAGATAAAACAATAGGACATGGTGGGGAGGTGTCTGGCTGCTTAGTCATTAGAGTGTGCAGCTCTTGATCTGAGAATCATGAGTTTGAACCCTGCGTTGTATGTAGAGATTGCTTAAATAAAGTTAAAGATAAATTAAAGAACAACAACATGACAGGGGATCCTCTTGTGATCCTCTGTGTCCCTTATCCCTCCTTCCTTCCCTCAGCCATGAGCAGTTAGAGGCCCTTACCTGGGGCAGTTTCTAGAGATCGGGGACGAGAAGCACCGGGACTTGACGCCCAGGACCTTCAACTTCACGACAAACTTCTGGGGGCCAAAGGACTCAGGACAGCAGAGTTCAAAGCAGGGCCAGAAGGTGCAGTTGGGGCCACAAAGGCGAGTCCGATTCAGAGGCAGGATGGTGTCGTCATCACAGCATTGCTCCAAGGGGTTATAGAGCTGGTCCCCACACCTGGAGGCAGGCTGGCACAGCCACAGCCCCGAGGCCATGGGGGCATCTGGTGGAGACACTACTGCTGTGGGTTCGAGAAGGACCAGATACCCACTTCCCAAGGTCACCCTCCTCCCTCCCCATTCTTCCCCGTCCTTGTCCTTACCTGTGACTACTTTTGCACACTGGTGGAAGAAGATTGTTATGCAGACAGAAACTATGGGAGAAAGAAGGGGGGCTCTTTTAGGGTTCCCAGAGTTAGTTCCAGCATGTGGGGCTTCCTGTACACACAATGCCAAACAATTCTGAGACACCAGTAGGGTGTCTGAGAATTCAACTCCATTCTGCGGCTGCTACGCAGAAATAGAATCAGATTCTAACAGGTTTTTGTTTTTGTTTTTTTTTTTTTCAATAGCCAGGTGAAGAGATCATAGGTGGAGTCTGGGGAAGGAAGGGTTTTGGGGCACCCATCCGGCTCTAGGTGTGCTGCTCTCCCATCGCCAGTGGACTCACCAGACTGGAAGCCCTCCAAACCCAATCCTTTTAGGTTTTTACGGGTGGGGCTTATTGCATGATGGTGACTGACAAAGTCACTGGCCATTGGCTGGTTGGGTCTCTAGCCCCTCTCCCCTCCCAGGAGCTAGGGAAGGTGGGAGCGAAAGTTCCATCCCTTCATTCACAGGATTGGTGCTCCTGGCTGCCGGCTCCCATTCTGGGGTGCGATCCAAAAGTCACCTTCATTCACAAGACTCCCATTTCACCTTTACGCTTCTGAATCATTTTAACAATCAGTGAAGCCCAACTCTACCTGAGGAATATATTTTGGTTATCTGAACTAGGTATATATTTCTTACAAATCATTATATCTCAGGGTGGACCATGGGGCAGAGAAGGTGGCTGTGGGATCCTCAGGAAGGTGAGTACGGAAGAAGCTGCAGGTCAGGGGGATCTACAGGTGTGGATTTGGATTTGGGGCCACCCCCGCAAGGGTGTTAGCTCTGGCAGGCACTGAGTAGCTGGGGCTCTCCAGGGGAGAGCATTCAGGGAAGACTGAGTCCTCAGCCTTGGCTCCCAGATAGAAGGCATCTGGTTTGTTAAAGAATGGAAGGATGGAGCTATTTGTCACAGATGCCTCTGAGGTGACCAGGGCTGGGGGAGGAGCCGGGGATTATGCTGAGGTGTGGGGGCTGTGCTGGGGCTGGGGTGGGATGGTGCTAGCCTTTGGGGGTCCTCCTTACCTGAGACGGAGCTTCGTGGTGTCATCACTTCCGAAGAGGTGCTAGGACAGTGAAGGAGGCTGGTCAAGTCTGGAACTTTATTGTACCCTGTGGCCAGACTTCTGTCACCAGTTTCTGATTGAGCCATTCAGATCAGGCCACTCCCAGCTCTCCAGCACTTTCCATAGGAATCACCAGCACATAGTTTTAAAAGGAGACTATTCGGTCTGTCCTTAGGTGTGAGCTCCTAAAAATAATTCACAGACAACTCACTGCTGCTTCCCAGGCTACTCCAGGCTTCACCTGCCCGCAGCATGGCCCTGCAGGGTTGTGATCCTGGATACCAGTTAGTCTGGTCAACATCGTGTATCCTGGGCACTGAGGGGGAATGAAGACTTCATCACAGCGACACCCGTTCCACATCCCCAGGCTCAGCCCCATCCACATCCCTGACTCAGTTTCCCAGCTCGTGCCCAGTGCCGTACACATCTTGGTTCCCGCTCCAAACCTAATTCTCTAAAATGTTTTTTTTTTAAAGATTTTATTTATTTATTTGACAGAGAGAGATCACAAGTAGATAGAGAGGCAGGCAGAGAGAGAGAGAGAGGGAAGCAGGCTCCCTGCTGAGCAGAGAGCCCGATGCGGGACTCGATCCCAGGACCTTGAGACCATGACCCGAGCCGAAGGCAGCGGCTCAACCCACTGAGCCACCCAGGCGCCCTCTAAAATGTTTTTTAATGTGTAATTTTATTTAAATGCAATTGATTAACATACAGTGCATTATTCATTCCAGAGATAGGGTTCAGTGATTCATCAGTTGCATACAAGACCCAGTGCTCATTACATCACGTGCCCTCCTTAATGCCATCGCCCAGTTACCCCAGCCCCTCCGCCTCCTCCAGCAACCCTGTTTGTTTCCTAGAGTTGAGTCTCTCATGGTTTGTCTCCCTCTGATTTCATCTGATTTTATTTTTCCCTCCCTTCCCCTAAGCTCCTCTGTTTTATTTCTTATATTCCACATATGAATGAAGACATATGATATATGTGTTTCTCTGATTTATTTCACTTAGCATAATCCCTTCTAGTTCCATCCATGTTGTCACAGATGGCAAGATTTCGGGGTTTTTTTGTTTGTTTGTTTTTCTGTTTTGAAGATTTTATTTATCTGTCAGAGAGCGACAGAGAGCACAAGCAGGCAGAGTGGCAGGCAGAGGCAGAGGGAGAAGCAGGCTCCCCGCCGAGCAAGGAGCCCAATGCGGGACTCCATCCCAGGACTCTGGGATCATGACCTGAGCCAAAGGCAGCTGCTGAACCAACTGAGCCACCCAGGCATCCCAAGATTTCATTTTTTGATGGCTGAGTAATATTCCACTGTGCATATTTACAACATTTTCTTTATCCATTTGTCTGTCAGTAGGCATCTGGGCTCTTTCCAGTTTGGCTGTTGTGGACATTGCTGCTATAAACATTGGGGTGCAGGTGCCCCTTTGGATCACTATGTTTGTATTAACTTCATTTTACAGAGGAGGAAAAGGAGGTAAAATGTGTTCCCACTGTCACGCAGGTGGTAGGCATACAGGAGTCTAACCCAGCCTGGCTGCTCTGAAGACAGGTACCGGATCCTCTTCATTCTGGGATGTCACTATCCCCTTGGCCTGCTCTGGTCTAGCTCCTCCCGGCCCCTTCATTATCATCACTTATCAGTCATCACTCACCTGGGGACATACAATGCCTCCCCATCTCCCCAACAAGGCAGGTAGTGGGATCTTCTGAAGTACCCGTACAAACCAGTTCCTCTCCAGCTTACCCCTGTCCAGGATCCCCAGGGCTTTAGGTTGGCATCCAGACCCCTCACCATGGCTGGTAGGCTCTTTGTCATCTGATCCCTGCTGATCTCTCCCCTTCTGATAGTTCCCACTCGTGCCATACTCTTTCTTCTTGATTTCTCCAAGCGAGCCCCTTTTCCTGGAATGCCAGCTTCTCTGCCCCTGGAATTGGCCAGTAAGTTTTCATTATGGATTCCAACAATACCCCGCACTTGGCGGGATTAATACTTACCCACTGACCACTCCCTCTGTGTCCTGCTCTGTGCTGGGGGCCCGGCAGGGATCATGACATCCTTGGTCCTGTCTTTCTGGGGCTCACAGTACATGGGGAAGACAGACCCATCCCAGGACAGTGACAGCCCCAGGTGGGTACCATGGGGGTGTCCAAAGGGTCAGGGAGGACTTTCTGGAAGAGCCATGGGATCAGCATAAGCGAAGGCCTGCGGATAGAGTAAAGGGGACTGGGAGATAGGACTCAAAGGTGTTGCACAGGGTCACAGGTTTCCCGTGCACCGAACCCTCAGGCTCTGGGCCATGTGGTGGGGTCATGGGCTGTGACCAAGCCTGCCAGCCCCCATCCCTGCTGAAACAGAGGTCACTCACCAATGGGGAAGAATCCCAAAAACAAACAAAAGAAGCAAAACCAGACAAGCAAATGATTAAAACAATCAGAGATTGTAATAGAAGCTAAGAAATCACACTGAGTGTGGAGAAGGAGCAGTGGGGAAGACCTGGGAAGCTGACATGGTAGAGGAAGACCCAGAGGAGGCGTCACCTCAGCGAGATCTGAAGAAGCCAGCAGTGGAAAGGGAGTTCCAGACAGAGGGAGAAGAGCAAGTACAAAGTCCCAACGTCTGTTTTGGCCGTGTTGGGATGGCAGCAGGTGGGGGAGCCTGGAGTGAAGACGGGAGGAGGCAGGAGGGCCACAGAGCTATGTACCCACAGGAAGGAGTAATAATCAATTATGATGCTGGAGTATTTGCGTTCCTGGCCCTGCCCGGAGCATTTTACATGCGTTGCGTCATTGGATGCTCACAACAGCTATAAGGGTCATATTCTACCTGAATTTTAAAGAGGAGGTTACAGAGACTTGGGCTTAAATAATTTGCCTACCTCATCACAGTGATGATGTGGCAAAGCTGGGATTTATGCTAAATCTTTAGGACCCCACCTCTTGGTTACAATAGCCTCAAACCTCAGGAGGGTTATGGCTTATAGTTTGGTCACCCTGCTGTCCCCAACACCTAGAACAGTTGGATCTAGTGCACAGTGTTTGGAGAACTTGGACTTTCCCATAGGACAAGAAAAAGTAAGAGAGCTTCTGCTTTCTGCCCTGCAAGAAATACTGAGGCATAAAAATACAAAAAATGACTTGCTCCTTTCTGGAAACATGGGCAGAGATTTAAGGGAGTAGTTACCAAAGGGAGTAGAAATTACCCAGCCACAGAAGGAAGTCAAGCAATAAGGAGACGGCTATTAGATGCGTATTATAAACTAAGGGGAGAATGTGAGGAGTTTTCACTCCAAGGCTGGCGACAAGTTCATTGTCTTCTTTTTCAGGAAGCCTTACAGTGAAGAGAGGAAGCAAAAAGAAAAACCCAGAGTTGGCTTGGAAAGTTTTGCAGTCTACCTGCTCCTGGAGTGAGGTGTAGGGACAGTGCCTCATTCAGCTTAGAACCAGATCCACGAGCTGCAGCCCCACACAACACCTTCATGACAGGCTGGACCCCCAGGGGATGGCTACATGGAGAGTATGTGTGGATAATCAGTCAACGGGGAGGGTCAGGAGGTGGTGGCGGCAGAAGGGGGGCCATGATACTCCCCACAGAAAATTTCAGACCTTTTACAGGAGCTGGAAGGAACAAAAAATCCTAACATCATTTTGGGGAAAAATACTGATTTATAATATATCTGATTTTTATGAACACACAACGTACACACAGCAAAGTTTACAAATACTTTTTGTGGGATGAAGTTTAATATTCATCCATTCTGTGATGGGGAGGAGAAAATAATTTTCCTTCTATCCTTTGAGTTCTGAGCTGAGATCCTTTACACTTCATATTTGCATAGGAGATACCCAAGGGAAAATTGGTAACTCCCCAAAGTGACAGAGATTTCAGAATTAAATACCATCCTAATAGGGAAAGTGGAGGAGGGAGGTAGACCTGTTAGGGAAGAGTACATGGTTTTAAAAAAGATGTATTTATTTATTTTAGAGAGAGAGAGAAAGAGGAGGAGAGGTGGTAGGGAGAGAAGGAGAGAGAATCCCAAGCAGACTGCACTGAGCACAGAGCCTGACTCGGGGCTTGATCCCACAACAGTGAGATCATGACCTGAGCTGAAATCAAGACACGATCAACCAGCTAAGCCACCCAGGTGCCCCAAGAGTAAATGACTTTTAGGAAAGATGAATGGGCCCTTAGAAGGATAGGTGGAAGGTATGATAGTTTGTGACAATGTCTTTCTGGGTTTGGTATCGACTTCTCATCTCCTCTCCTGCGATGAAAGTCCATCTTTCCTGGTTGATGAAATTCCTGGGCAGGGGATTTCTAACACATGAATTCCTTCTGGAGGCTCAGTCTTTAGGTAGATTCATTCTTCAGTCTATAAGTTTATGACTTTTGCCAAGTGTGAGAAATCTTCAGTCATTATTTCATCAAAATCTTTGTCAGTTTTCTTCTTTCTCCTGTCCTTCCAGTACTCCGGTGACACTGACGTTAGATCTTTAGTTATAGGCCCAAAGTTCCCAGAGGCTGTGTTCATTTTGTTCCCCCAGTCTGTTTTCCCAGCGTTGCTCACACTGGGTAATTGTTCTGTCTGTGGCTTGAAGGAGTCTTCCCTCTGTAGTCTTCGTTCTGTTGCTGATCCCAGAGGTGTGTTGTTGTCACATTTTTCAATCCTACAATTTCCATTTGGTTCCTCTTAACATCTTCTTTCCTTCTTTCCTGAGACTCTTTAATTACCAGTATCGGCATTCTTGTGATTGCTTCTATAAATACTATTACAGCTTCCAGATCCTTGCCAAGTCATTCTGTCACCTGTGACTCCTCAGTATTGGCGTCTGGTGATTGTCTTTCCTCATTCAGGTGGAGGTTTTACTGGTTCTTGGTATTGTGCATGGTTTTTTAAACTTAAGTTTTTAAAGATTTTGTTTATTTATTTGACAGAGCAAGCACAAGCAGGGGGAGTGGTAGGCAGAGGGAGAGGGAGAAGCGGG